AAAACACTCAGGACTAACTAATAGGTTTCAGTTATCCTGGCGATGGATCTTGCATAACATTTAATATTCTACTGAACTTGGTTGAGCAAGGTTGAACCTGAACACAGGGCAATAGTCTATAAAGCACAAAGATCAGATCAACTGGGTCATAAAATTACTTTTACCTAATGCAGATTCATTTCTAATCGCATTACTGTGCACGGAGCTTGACCCTCTGTAGCTTGTTGCCAACCAGTTGACTGCTCACCCTCGCCAGGCTGCTCACGAACCAAACTGCTGTATTACTAAGCATACTAAATAAATGTATACAGCCAGGTACAGTCAAGTACAGTCAGTATTTGAAAAAAACAGTGACTGGCATCCAACTCAGCTGAACAGGCTTTCAATTATGTAATTTTAATAAAGCATTATTTGTCCCTGGATCCACCATTTTCCTAGGCTCAATTATTCTAATCATGCATTTCCCTCCCGCTTTTCTATTGGGATATGTATAAGCAAAGGCGATCAAAATTTCTATTGAGCATGAGAACTCCAGTCTACTGACCAAATGAATGTACCGATCAGGTTTGAATTGTATTATAGTGATAGGTTGGGAATTCTCTTTTTGTGCGATTGCATTTGGATTTAGAATGAATTCACATTTCACATGCCTGAAACTATTGTCTGTGTTTATGTACATCCTAACAGGGATGAAATAAAAGGAGGAAAAGTCAACAATGTTTGCTGTAAAAGAGGAAGCAGATTTGATCAGCCCAATCATTCTTTCTTCTTCCTAATTTTTTTTTCATGCTCACCCTATTTTGCATTCGTGCAGAGCAGAGGCTTGCAATATAATGCATACTTTGTCCAATGCGTTTGCCTACACATACACAAGGCACTGCACTTTATAGTAAATCCTGGGAAGTGCTTTGAGATGCTTTATCAAGGTGATGAAGCACTGCATCAAATGCAAGGATTGTTATATACTCTGAGCCTGGAAATATTGCACTGATCGTAAGTGTGTTCAACACTACTGTATTCCCAAGCCTGTCAGTATCTGTAAAGTATGCGCGCAAACAATGTGCGCCCAAGTATAGTAAGTATTTGAAAATACAGTGACTGGCGTCCAACTCAGCTGAACAAGCTTTCGATGATGTAATTTTAAAAGCGCTTCACAGGATTTATTATGAAGTGCAGTGTCTTGTGTACGTCTCAGTAGTTCAGAAATGTATACTGCATTAGTCCAGCTGCTCTATAACTATCACACAGATCAGTCACAATCTGTTCAAATTCTGGAGTGACTCAGCAATGTATTCCTAGTCTGCTCAGTATTTACACTGCGTACATCAGTACTGTATTCCCAGGCCTAATCATACCGTATGCACACTACAGTGAATCAGATTGCACTTACAGGCCAGAACCAGTTGAATAATTGAGGGGCTCCTTCCCGTTTCTCTTCGTTTAGTTAACATTAACCCTCAATCATTACTTTAAACACCCCAAGTACTGTGTATTGATATATTAGATTCAATGCTAAGAATTTTTCCCTGTATAATTAATGAATAACTAATTACAGTATTCAGTTTATTCCAGCCACATATTGTACTGCTGAATTTTTTACCTACTTACGGTAGTATAGTACCTGTCATACAATCTCTCTTTGTGCTCACTTGTTTCTGCTTTTTTTTTGGTTGCACTCCCTTTAGCCATGCATTCTGAACAGATTTCAGTTGTTTGCTCCCATATCAAGGAAGTAGTTAAGGGTAAAGCAATTTAAAAAGTTATAATCAGCAAAAATATAATTACTGTACTGTAATTCATTAGTCGCCCAATGTGATATGTACCATACTCCAAACTATAATCTATTATTACTATCTTCTATTAAAGATGCAGAGTATTATATTATAAATCTTGAAGTATAATTAGATTTTTTAGTTGGACAACTCCTAGACATAGTGAGCAAAATTGGGGCGCTTACATCAATTCCTCCTTTCTCCCCCTTCATTCCAATGTGAAATGCTCAATGCTTATTTAATTTAATGTACCAAAATGCAATCATTAGAATAAATGCCATCCACTGTTACTGTTCCGAGACTAGTCAATCACTTAGTCTCATGTTAATCTCACTGCATTAGTTTTAAGGAAACTGCTTCCACACTATTAACACACTGGATCCCAGTTGACAGCTTTGAAAACCAGTCGATCTTTACGTGCCCAAAAGAAGCATAGAATTACAAAGACTATTACTGCAAGGAAACAGGCCCAACTAGTCCATGCCGGTCTTTTATACTCCACAGAAGATTCTACCCCTCCTAAGCCCCTCTCCTATTCCAATTTCCTTCTTGTATCAAGTTTCCTCCTGATGTATGTTGATGCTTTCTACTTCAATCACAGTGTTCACCGTCTTACCACCATCTGTGTAAAGCTGTTCCGCCTTTCCTCACCTCCGCAACATTGCCCGACTCCGCCATTGCCTCTCACCACAAGTCACCGAGTCCCAAATCCATGCTTTCATTATATTCCAGCTTGATTACACCAATTGCCTGCTCACTGGACTTCCCAACTCTTCCCTCTGCAAGATGCAGATTAATCAGAACCCTGCAGCTTGTGTCCTCTACCGCACCAGGCTCTAGGAACCCATCACCCCCTTTCTTGCCCGGCTTCACTGGCTTCCCATTCCTCAGAGAATTGAGTACAAAGCCCTCGTTCTTACCTTCAAGGCCCTCCAATGGTCTTGTTCGCCCCCCACCTCCCTGACCTCATAACCCCATATCAACCTGTCCGCTCCCTCTGTTCGGCGGACACCGGTCTGCTTCAGATCCTCTGCACTTCCTGCTATACAAGTCTAATTTGCTGCTGCTGTTGTTTCTAAACTCCCTTTTAGATCTGCTACTGGCTACCTTATATTTACGGCCCTTCATTTTGGACTCACCAACAATAATAATAATAATAATCCTTGCATTTGATATAGCGCTTTTCACGTCAGGAGGACGTCCCAAAGCGCTTCACAGAATATACTGTAAAGTGAATTGACTGTATATTTGTGGGCGAACGCGGCAGCCAATTGCGCACAGCAATGTCCCACAAACAGTCGTAGATTGAAAATGACCAATTTATTATTGTTTTTTGTTTTGGAGGGATTATTCAACAAATTACATTTGGATAGCCCCTTTCACGTCAGGACACCCCGAGGAACAGCACATCGGGGTCTGGCATTGAATATTTTCATAATTTTAAACACCTCCAACAGGTCCCCTCTCAATCGGCTTATCTCCAGAAATATAAATGAATTCATCTGATTTTTCTCGACAGCCTCATTCACTCATCCCTAGCCACATCCAAGTAAATCTACAGTACTCTCTCCAATATCGTATTGTTCCTGTAATATGGTGATGAGAACAGTACACAGTATTCTAAATGTCATCTAAACAAAATTTTATATAAATTTAACATGACTTCTCTAGCTTTGTACTCTAGGTGGTGATCAATAGGTCACAACCTCTTCTCAGGGTTCAAAGAGAGATTTACAGGTGTATAAATGTGGAATCATACGTTTGCGCTCACTCAAATTCCAACATTTCTGACATGCTCATACTATCCACAGAGTTGGCAGCTTTGGAAACCATTTGATAATATTGGTCCCATTGATAAGATCACAACACAAACCAGAAGCTGCAAGTTACGGACATTAGTGATCCTCTAGCTCACAGTCGGTGCCTCAGTTGCGTGACAACTTATGTTAGGATTCAAGACCAAATGCCAGAAAATGACCAGTAAATGTAAAAAGTAGAGAATTGGATTTTTTTTGAAAAATGTTTTTAGTCCCAAACGTGCAAGACTTGACAGGTCTGTTCTTGTACTCGACCTCAGCAAACACAGGTTTTAAGATCCTGACATCTGGAAGGCTCTCCCTCTTTCCCTCTCTCAACACGCAAACTTTCCTGTGTACAAACCTGGCAAATGCAAATACAGCCACTTCTCCCTCTTCCAACATTACCTCCTCCCCAGCCTGGGTCCCCTATTATACAGACTGCATTCGGCAGAGAGAGGGAAGGGGCTGTGGGCCCACCAGCTGCCCCTCAGGCCTGAGCTGTGCACCTTATCCCAACAGCTGGAGCGGCTGGTGAGCTTCACTCTCTCCCTCTCTCCCCCTCAGGCTGGGGCCTCCCTCTCTCTCTCCCCCTCAGGCTGGGGCCTCCCTCTCTCTCTCCCTCTCAGGCTGGGGCCTCTCTCTCTCCCCCTCTCAGGCTGGGGCCTCCCCCTCAGGCTGGGGCCTCTCTCTCTTTCCCTCTCCCCCCTCAGGCTGGGGCCTCTCCCCCCCCCCCTCAGGCTGGGGCCTCCCCCTCTCAGGCTGGGGCCTCTCTCCCCCCCCTCAGGCTGGGGCCTCTCTCCCCCCTCAGGCTGGGGCCTCTCTCCCCTCCCCCCCTCAGGCTGGGGCCTCTCTCCCCTCCCACCCCTCAGGCTGGGGCCTCTCTCCCCCCCCCCCCCGCCCTCAGGCTGGGGCCTCTCTCCCTCTCAGGCTGGGGCCTCTCTCTCTCCCCCCCTCAGGCTGGGGCCTCTGCCCTCAGGCCTCTCCCCCCCCCCCCCCCCCTCAGGCTGGGGCCTCCCCCTCTCAGGCTGGGGCCTCCCCCTCTCAGGCTGGGGCCTCCCCCTCTCAGGCTGGGGCCTCCCCCTCTCAGGCTGGGGCCTCTCTCTCTCCCCCTCTCAGGCTGGGGCCTCTCTCTCTCCCCCTCTCAGGCTGGGGCCTCCCCCTCAGGCTGGGGCCTCTCTTTCCCTCTCCCCCCCTCAGGCTGGGGCCTCTGCCCTCAGGCCTCTCCCCCCCCCCCTCAGGCTGGGGCCTCCCCCTCTCAGGCTGGGGCCTCCCCCTCTCAGGCTGGGGCCTCTCTCCCTCTCAGGCTGGGGCCTCTCTCCCTCTCAGGCTGGGGCCTCTCTCCCTCTCAGGCTGGGGCCTCTCTCCCCCCCCCTCAGGCTGGGGCCTCCCCCCCTCTCTCTCGCGGTCTCTCTCTCTCTCTCCCGCTCACCTCTCTCCCGCTCACATGCTCGGGGCGGGTGGGGGCGCTGCCGGTGTGGAGTGTGCGGTTGATGGTGGTGGGCGGGGGGTGTCGGCTGCTGCTCAGGGCCTCAGTCTCGGGCTCGCTGTGCCCCGCGGCCGCCGCTCGAGCTCCCCGGCTCATCCACAGCCAACCCGGAAACCTCGGCCTCTCCGCACAAAATGGCGGCCCGGAGCGGGGGGGTGCGACGTCGCCGTGCGTGCTTGCGTACGCCCCACCCGGCCTGCTGACGTCATCACTGACGCTATGCGTGCGTTACGTGCTCGTTCCCCACTTGCTCGCTCACCCACCGTTCAATGTGCGTTGCGTGCGCGCGCCCCCTCCCCGCCCCTCCCCCCCCCTCCCCCCCCCCCTCCCCGCCCCTCCCCCCCCTCCCCCCCGCCCCTCCCCCTCCCTCCCCGCCCCTCCCCCTCCCTCCCCGCCCCTCCCCGCACGTGGCCGCTGCTGTGTTTGGAGCGATTGATGTGTACTGCCCCCTAGTGCCTGACTCCAGCCCTCAGACACTGGGCCTCAGCACTGTGTGTCTGTCTGTGTCTCTGTGTGTGTGTCTGTCTGTGTCTCTGTGTGTGTCTGTCTGTGTGTGTCTGTCTGTGTCTCTGTGTGTGTGTGTGTCTGTCTGTGTGTGTCTGTCTGTGTCTCTGTCTGTGTGTGTCTGTCTGTGTCTCTGTGTGTGTGTCTGTCTGTGTGTGTCTGTCTGTGTGTCTGTGTCTGTCTGTGTGTGTGTGTCTGTGTCTCTGTGTGTGTGTGTCTGTCTGTGTCTGTCTGTGTGTGTGTGTCTGTGTCTCTGTGTGTTTTTTGGTTGGTGTGGAAACCCATCCCCAGGCTTAAGGATCTCCAAAAACCGAGCTGAGATGTTTGTGCCTCTCACCTACACCTACACATGGACATCCCAGAGATGGACTGTTGGAGTGGAATACGCTCTCTCTCTCTCTCTCTGGAGGGACACGTCCTGTTTACCTAATTCCAGACAGTATCAGGGCCCAGGTTGGCAAGAGCCAAGGCTTGGGGGGGGGTCCCAGAGTGTGGCGTTGGGGTAACTGCTGGAGTCCAACCAGCTAAAGCCACATAGCTTGCCTTTGATATCGCTGTCGGCAAGCTTTCCCGCTGCTCGTCCAGCGAGGACCACCGACATGTTAGGGCTATGGCTTGTAGGGTTAACGGGAGCTGAGTGGAAAGAATCCCTACTAATCACTGGAGTGCCCTTCCAAGGACTGCCAATCCGCCAGGGACTGGCCCAGCAGTGCCCTGGAATACTGTGGACCCGTCGGGCTCGGGAACCGGACCACCGATGCCGCCACGGAGGGCTGGCTTGATCCCGATATTCCGTGCAGCTCGTTCAGCCATATACATCAAGGAATTTCTCACAGAGCCTGGAAAACGGCAGATAAAGGGCTTCTTTACCTCATGGCTGTTTGTGGGACCTTGTCGAAGTCACAAGGATTGCCTCCAGAAACAGTCATTACACCTGATAGTAATTACAGTGAAGCAAGTTGAGCTTTAATATGATGAGCCTTATTATATAACACGTGCCTGTCACCGATCACCTATCAGATAAGGTGTTATGAAAACAACACAAACAACAACAACAAAATGACATTTGTACAGCGAGTTTCACGTCAGGAGGACATGCGAAGTGCTGGAAAATCAGTGTTTTTGACCCGAGCTGGGGGTCGAGATCAGGGAGGGTGAAGGGCAGTGAAGGAGGTTGATCGGAGGCATGGTCAAAGAGGAGGGTTTTGGGATGGGTCTTGAAGGAGTTAAGGGAGCGGGCCAGGTGGAGGGACAGCAGGATGGAGTTCCAGAGGGTGGGAGCAGAGTAGCTGAAGGCCTGCTTGCCAATGTTGGGGCGGGCGAGACGGGGGATGTAAAGCGGCCCGGAGCCCGCTGAGCAGAGGGAGCGATCAGGTTGGAAGGGGTTATGAGGTCGCAGAGGTAGGGGAAAGCAAGGTCATGGAGGGCTTTGAAGGTGAGGACCAGGATCTTGAACTGTATCCTCCGTGTGGTGGGAAGCCAGTGGAGTCGGGCAAGGATGGGGGTAATAGGGTCACTTGGTGCAGCAGAGGACACAAGCTGCAGAGTTCTTGATGATCTACAGCCTATGGAGGGAGTAGTTGGGGAGGCCAACAAGCAATGCGTTGGCATTGTCAAGCCTGGATGTTATGAATATGTATATGAGGGTCTTGGCGGTCTGCAGTGTGAGACAATGGCGGAGCCGGGCGATGTTGCAGAGGTGGGGGAAGGCAGAATGGGTCATGGCTTGGATGTGGGGTAGAAAGGATAGTTGAGGCTCAAACAAGAGGCTAAGGTTCTGGACTGGCTTAGCAGGATGCAGTTTGCATGCTTGGATGGTGATGCTGATGTGTGGAAGTGCTGACGGGAGCCAATCGGGAGGGCTTTGGTCTTGTTAATGTTCAACTGAAGAACGTTAGCTCTCATCCAAGGCTTATTGTCTGACAGACATTCTGTCAGGACAGAAGTGACCTTGGAGTCAAGAGTGGAGGCAGAGAGATAGAGTCGGGTGTCATCCGGATACATGTGGAAGTTGACCCCATGTCTGCGGATGATGTCACCAAGAGGGAGCATAGAGATACTGAAGAGGAGGGGACCAGGGACAGAGCTCTGAGGAACGCCACACGAGACAATGCGGGGGTTAGAGGAGAAGCTGTTTGTGGCGATGAAGTGGAGACGGTGTGAGAGGTACGATCTGAACCCTTCAAGGACAGAACCATGAAGGTTTTTGCAGTTACATAGCACCCTTCACGCTGGACGGTGTCTCATCTGGCCCTTTGGGATGGTCCTTCGTAGTAACATAGCTGGGCGGCTGAGCCCTCAGCCACTACGCCCCCACCGAGTGAAACTCCTTCCCTCAAACGTTCCATTCCCCGATCTGCCCCCATCTGTCTTCAAAAGCTGCCTTAAAGACCTTACTTTTCAACCACCTATTGTCACCTCTCACCAACGCCCCCTCCTCCCCCCCCCATCTCCCCCCACCCTTCCTCACCTCACTTGCTGTCCAGCACCATCTCTGTAAAGTGACATTACTGGACATGAAGGGCACTGTAATCGGATACATGTTATTGATGCAAAGTATAAATTGAGGATAAAGAATTCTTTAATTAACTGCATCAATAATTCTACACAATCGTTTAATTGTCAGTTTCTGGTTGTCTGCTTATATCTCTTGCGGTGGGAACACGGATACCCATCGGGTCTGGGACAGCAGCTGGCTGAGAAATGTGTCAGTGTCTTTTGCTCGCTCTCTCTCTTGTGGTTTTGTGCGGCATTGAAAGCCGCTGCGTACTGGAAGCTGGAATCCGGATAACTGCTGTGATGCAAAAGGACTCAGTGCAACATCTGTTGTCATCCCTTTAGCTGAGCTGCTGTTTCTTTACTAGGTCAGTCCCAGTTTTAGAGGCAAAGTTTATAGGCCACGTTCTCGAGAAGGTTATTACTGCTTGCGTTTGATGCAGCGCCTTATCACGTCGTCGAGATGTCTCAAAGAGCTTCACAGGATTCACAAGTGTAGTGACTGTATTTTGTGGGCGAACCCGGCAGCCAATTTGCACACAGCAACATCCTGCAAACAGCCATGAAGTGAATGACTCATTTTTGTTCGGGGGATTGAAACTCCATTCTCTTTTTGAATAGTGCCGCAGGGATCTTTTTTTTTCTCTTTTTCTTTTTCCCCAGTGGATAATGAATGGCTGGGAACGGGGTTACCAGGAAGAAGGGGGCTCGTTTGTAAATAAAAGCTTGATGCTGTGACAGGAGCATTTGAAAAAGAATTATTTTCTCCTCACTGGCTGCTTGGTGCCCTCTGGTAGCCTTCGCTTCAACTGTCCATCGATCGTATGTGAGCATCAACAGTGAGCGTCGGCAGTGGGCGTCACACCCGACAGACACACCGTCATTAGAGGGGATACAGAGGGACCAGGAGCCGGAAAACTGGCTGGTTTCCTCCTCCCTGACCCTGGGAAGGCTGGTAGCCAGTTTATCCTCTTCTCTCCCCGCACCCCCGTGCAGCTCTGGCTGAGACCAGAAAACTCGGGATGGACTGGGACTTGAACCAGCGACCTGTGTGTCTGAAGCTACAGCTGTGTCAACTGCCATCGGGATCGCTCTCCCCACTACTCCTCCCCTCCCCCCCACCCCATTCATTTCTTAACCTTAAAACCCATAAGTTATCCTAAACAACCCTGAACAACACTGCCCTGATCTGCCCAGGAGGAGATACTATGTACACTATGTACCAATCCCACAGGTTCTGTTTACCCGGAAACCATCCGATTCTTGAGGACACAATAAATAATAAACCTTATATGTGGCACAGCCCCTGTGGTCCATCCGATCTCATCCCTCCACGCATCTATCACAACCTGCTTTTTAAATGAATCCCAGCGCCCTGACCTCAACACCCCTTTCTTGGCAACCCAATTTTGCCCACAAAATGCCCAGTCACTCCATCGCCACCCCTCTTCCCCTCCCCTCCCTTACCCCCCAATCCCACCTTGGGTCTGAAATGCTATACTCTGTCCAGCGCCTTGGGACATCATCCCGACGTGAAAGGCGCTATACAAATGGAATCTTGTTGTTGTTGAACTGTTTCCTCTGTGTGATGGGAAGCCGGTGGAGTTGGGCAATGATGGGGGTGATAGGGTCACAGAGCCTAGGGGAGAGGACACGGCCTGCAGAGTTCTGGATGATCTGCAGCCTGTGGAGGAAGAAGTTGAGGGGCAGACAAGCAGGGAGTTTGCATAGTCAAGCCTTGATGTAATGAAGGCACGTATGAGGGTTTTGGTGGTCTGTGGTGTGAGACAGTTTCGGAGATGGGCGACGTTGCGGAAATGGGGGAAGGCAGAGAAGGTCATGGCACGAATGTGGGGTAAAAAGGATAGTTGAGGGTCGAACAAGACCCTAAGGTTCTGGACTGGCTCAGCAAGGTGGAGTGTGCAACCATGGATGGTGATATTGTCAGCGCCTGAGGTGAGGAGCCGCTGACAGGAGCCAAACAGGAGAACCTCGGTCTTGTTGACATTCAACTGAAAAAAGTTAGCTCTCATCCAGGGCTTGATGTCTGACAGAGTCAAGGGTGGAGGCAGAGAGGTAGCGTTGGGTGTCATCCGCAATACATGTGGAAGTTGACCCCATGTCTGCGCAAGATGTCACCAAGGGGAGCATATAGATGTTGAAGAGGAGGGGACCAAGGACAGATCCCTGAGGAACACCGCACAAGACAGTGCAGGTAACTAGGGGAGAAGCAATGTGAGGAGATGAAGTGCAGGTGGTGTGAAATGTACGATCTGAACCAATCAATCACAGCGCCGTGGAGGTTGAAGTGAGAGGAGAGATGGTGGATGAGGATAGAGTGGTCGACGGTGTTGAAGGCAGCAGAGAGGTCGAGGAGGACGAGGAGGCAGAGGGAACCCCGGTCGCAGATGGACAGAATGTCATTTATCACTTTGACCAGGCGGTTTCTGTGCTGTGGGCGGCACGGAAACACGAATGGAGGGGTTCGTGAAGGGAGCGGCGGGAGAGGAAGGAGCGAAGTTGGGAAGCAACGACTCGTTCCAGGACCTTGGAGAGGAAAGGGACCTTGGAGATGGGGCGGTGGTCAGGGAGGAGAGAAAGGTCCAGGGAGGGTGTTTTATGGATAGGAATGATGACAGCGGTTTTTAAAGGGGTGGGAACAGTACCAGAGGACAGGGAGAGGTGTCAGTGAGTAGAGGGACAAGGAGGTGGAGCTGGGAGGTAAGGAGTGGGGGGTGAGGGCTGGGGTCCAGGGAGCAGGTTGTGGGTTTCGTACGGGTTAAGGTGGCGATGAGAGAGGAGGGGGAGACGGGTTCAAAGGTGTGGAGGGGTGGGAGGAGGAGATGGGGAGGGGGTAGTAGTTGCAGAGGCAGAGGCAGCTGCGCGGATTCCCTCGACTTTGGATTCGAGGAAGTCCAGCATCGCCTCGCAGTTGGCGTTTGAGGTGAGGATGGGTGAGGGGTGAGGGGTGAGGGGTGGGCGGAGGAGTCGGTTCCTGATGGAGAGGATCCTCGGGTTGTCCTTAGCCCCAAAGATTGTCTTGGAGCAGAACAATGATTTAGCCAACATCTGAACAGAGAGAGAGAGAGACAGGGAGAGAGTCACAGACAGACACACAGACAGACAGGGAGAGAGTCACAGACAGACACACAGAGAGACAGGGAGAGACTCACAGACAGACACACAGAGGGACAGGGAGAGAGTCACAGACAGACACACAGAGAGACAGGGAGAGAGTCACAGACAGACACACAGAGAGACAGGGAGAGACTCACAGACAGACACACAGACAGACAGGGAGAGAGTCACAGACAGACACACAGACAGACAGGGAGAGACTCACAGACAGACACACAGACAGACAGGAAGAGAGTCACAGACAGACACACAGACAGACAGGGAGAGAGTCACAGACAGACACACAGAGAGACAGGGAGAGACTCACAGACAGACACACAGACAGACAGGGAGAGACTCACAGACAGACACACAGACAGACAGGGAGAGAGTCACAGACAGACACACAGACAGACAGGGAGAGACTCACAGACAGACACACAGAGAGACAGGGAGAGACTCACAGACAGACACACAGACAGACAGGGAGAGAGTCACAGACAGACACACAGACAGACAGGGAGAGACTCACAGACAGACACACAGAGAGACAGGGAGAGACTCACAGACAGACACACAGACAGACAGGGAGAGAGTCACAGACAGACACACAGACAGACAGGGAGAGACTCACAGACAGACACACAGACAGACAGGGAGAGAGTCACAGACAGACACAGAGAGAGAGAGACAGGGAGAGAGTCACAGACAGACACACAGAGAGAGACAGACAAAGAGAGACAGTGAGAGAGAGAGACAGAGACACAGACAGACACAGAGAGAGAGAGAGACAGTGAGAGAGAGTCACAGAGAGACACACACAGAGAGACAGACAAAGAGAGACAGTGAGAGAGAGAGACAGTGAGACAGACACAGACAGACACAGACAGACAGAGGGAGAGGGTTCGGAGTGCACTGTGACAGCGGTGCGCGGTGTCCCGGGCGGTGAGTGTCGGGGCAGTGAGTGTCGCCCCCGCGCGGCCGCGGGGAGTTGGGGCTGTGGGTGAAGTTCCAGACGCTCTCAGCGGCTCTCAGCCCCACAATGGCCACCGCCGGGACCCGGGGCTCAGCCCGTGAGTGACGCCGCTCTCACACCCGCTCTCACACCCGCTCTCACACCCGCACACACTCACCCGCTCACCCGCACACACACCCGCTCACACTCACCCGCTCACCCGCACACACACAGCCGCACACCCGCTCTGGTCAGACATGACGCCCAGACAGACACACACAGACACTGACCCCCTCCTGTGTGTGGGGTTTGACCCCCTCTCCCGGTGGGGAAGCCCCGCGCCCCCCCCTCCCCCCCCCCCCCAGACCGCGGGGCTGTGCCTCAGTCCCCGATGGTTGGGGTTCACCCCCTCTCTCCCTATTGACTGATCGCCCCCCAGTCCTGGTCACCGCCGCGGCCCCTCCGACCCCTCTCTCTCCCCCCCCACTGCCCCCCCCCACCCCCCACACCCACCGCCCCCCCCACTGCCCCCCCCACACCCCCCACACCGCCCCCACTGCCCCCCACACACCCCCACACCCCCCACACCCCCACCGCCCCACCGCCCACCCCCACACACCCCCCACCGCCCCCCCCACACCCCCCCACCGCCCCCCCCACACCCCCCACCGCCCCCCCCACACCCCCCCACCGCCCCCCCCCACACCCCCCCACTGCCCCCCCCCCCACACCCCCCACACACCCCCACACCCCCCACACCCCCCCCCCACACCCCCCACACACCCCCACACACCCCCCCCACACCGCCCCCACTGCCCCCCCACACCCCCCCCCACCCCCACACCCCCCCCCCACACCGCCCCCACTGCCCCCCACTGCCCCCCCACACCCCCCCCACACCCCCACACCCCCCCCCACACCGCCCCCACTGCCCCCCACTGCCCCCCACACCCCCCCACACCGCCCCCACTGCCCCCCCACACCCCCCCACACCCCCACACCCCCCCCACACCGCCCCACTGCCCCCCACACCCCCCCCCACACCCCCACACACACCCCCCCACACCGCCCCCACTGCCCCCACTGCCCCCCCACACCCCCAACCCCAACCGCCCCCCACTGCCCCCACACCCCCCCCCACACACACACACCCACTGCCCCCCATCCCCCACAACCCCCACTGCCCCCCCACCTTCCCCCACACCACCGCCCCCCCCCACCGCCCCACTGCCCCCCACACCCCCCCCACCCCCACACCGCCCTCATCCCACACCCCCCCGCCCCCCCCCACCGCCCCCACCGCCCCACTGCCCACCCCACACCCCCCACCCCCCACCGCCCCCCCCACACCACCCCACACACCCCCACTGCCCCCCACACCCCCCACCGCCCCCCCCACACCCCCCCACACATCCCCACTGCCCACCCCCAGGGTTTACTGTCGCTTTCCATTGTTGCGGGTTGAATCGCAAAAGGGGGTGCAGGGGGGGTAGAGAGAGTGGGGGGGGAGGGTGGGGGTAGGGGGGAGAGTGGGGAGGGGGGGGAGAGCGGGGGGGGGGAGTGGGGGGGGAGTGCGCGGGGGGGGAGTGGGGGTGGGGGAGTGCGGGGGTGCGCGAGTGGGGGAGAGTGGGGGGAGTGCGGGTGTGCGGGAGTGGGGGTGGAGTGCGGGGGGAGTGGTGGAGGGGAGTGCGGGGGGGAGTGTGGGGGGGGGGCAGTGCGGGGGGGGAGTGGGGGGGGCGCAGTGCGGGGGGGAGTGGGGGGGGGGCAGTGCGGGGGGGGGCAGTGGGGGGGGAGTGGGGGGGCAGTGCGGGGGGGGAGTGGGGGGGGGCAGTGCGGGGGGGGAGAGCGGGGGGAGTGGGGGGGCAGTGCGGGGGGGAGTGGGGGCAGTGAGGTGGGGGGGGAGTGGGGGGCAGTGCGGGGGGGGAGTGGGGGGGGGCAGTGCGGGGGGGGGAGAGCGGGGGGGAGTGGGGGGGGGCAGTGCGGGGGGGGAGTGGGGGGCAGTGCGGGGGGGAGTGTGGGGGGGCAGTGCGGGGGGGGGTGGGGGGGGCAGTGCGGGGGGGGAGTGGGGGGCAGTGCGGGTGGGGAGTGGGGGGGGGGCAGTGCGGGGGGGAGTGGGGGGGCAGTGCGGGGGGGGGCTGTTATGGGGTGACCGGCGGTGCCTCTCCGGCCCTCAGGCGACGGCTCTGCAGCTCTGTGGAATGTGGAATTATCACTTTTTAAATCTGAATCTGTCGCTCATTTTATTATTATTACTATTTGTTTTTGTTTATTTACTGTTGTGTTGACCAACAAAGGAGAGCGCCCGAACGATTGGCTTCAAAGTTGTGGGACCCTCTCTGGGGGGCGGTGCGGGGGCGGTGCGGGGGGGGGGGGAAGGGAGGGGGGGGGGGGGGGGGGGGGCGGTTGCAGTAATTTCTGCCCAAGAAGCCTTCGTAACAAATGGCTCAGAAAATTCTTTGCGAAAAAGAATTCAGTTTGTGATAGTGTATTAGCCGGGACTTAGCGGTGCAACTTCAGTGTGTGGGAGAGGAGAGGAGGGGGGGAGAGGAGAGGGGAGGAGGGGGGGAGAGGAGGGGAGAGGAGGAGAGGAGGGGGAGAGAGGAGGAGAGGAGGGGAGAGGAGGAGGAGAGGAGAGGAGGGGAGGAGGGGGGGAGGGGAGGAGAGGAGGGGAGAGGAGGAGGAGAGGAGAGGAGGGGAGGAGAGGAGGGGAGAAGGGGGGGAGGGGAGGAGAGGAGAGGAGGAGGGGAGGAGAGGGGAGGAGGAGGGGGGGAGGAGGAGGGGGAGAGGGGAGGGGAGGAGAGGGCCGTACTCAGCACCAGAATCCCAACACACACATTTATAAAAGAGAGATATGATGATGTTTGTCTTTCGATGCCGTGCCCTTCGCTCACCGGACACAGTCACTACGCCTCACGGCGATGGCGCAGCTCTCCTCCTGACGCGGACGTGGCCGCAGCGATCGCCGGAGTGTAGGTTTGAGAGGTGAAATGGATGGATTTTGGGCTTCTTTCAGCGTCAGATTCTTATGTTCTGATTTCATGATTGTCGCACAAGGGGACGACGTGCGTGTGCGCGTGTGTGTGTGTGTGTGTGCGCGTGTGTGTGCGTGTGTGTGTGTGTGTGTGTGCGTGTGTGCGTGTGCGTGTGTCGGTTTGTGGTGGGTGTCAGTGTGTGTGTGAGACTGTGTACCTGTCAGTCTGTGTGTGTGTGTGTTTATCTTGTACGTGTGTGTGTGACTGTGTATATGTCAGTGTTGGCGTGTTTGTCCATGTATTTCAGTGTCTGTGTGTGTGTGTCAGTGTGTATGTGTCTGCGTGTGTGCATTTGTGTGTGTCTGTGTGTGTTAGCATGTGTGCGTTTTCATGTGTCAGTGTGTATGTGTCTGCATGTGCGTGTTTGTGTGTGTGTATTTGTATTTGTGTGTGTGTTTGTGTGTGTGTGTGTGTGTGTATTTGTGTTTGTATGTGTGTTTGTGTGTGTGAGTGTGTGTTTGTGTGAATGTAAACGATTGATAATGTAACTGAGAGCCGACGACAAGATCTAAATTTATTTAAGACTGCAGAAGGCCAGACTTGACGTTATCCCCTCCCCTCGCCTCCCCTCCCCTCCCCTCCCCTCCCCAGCTCCCCTCCCCAGCTCCCCTCCCCAGCTCCCCTCCCCTCCCCTCGCCTCCCCTCCCCTCCCCAGCTCCCCTCCCCAGCTCCCTCCCCTCCCCTCGCCTCCCCTCGCCTCCCCTCGCCTCCCCTCCCCTCGCCTCCCCTCCCCTCCCCTCGCCTCCCCTCCCCTCGCCTCCCCTCCCCAGCTCCCCTCCCCTCCCCTCGCCTCGCCTCCCCAGCTCCCCTCCCCAGCTCCCCCACCCCCTCCTTTCTCCTCCTTTCCTCTTTCCCTCTCCGATCCTGAGGTCTGTAGTAGCACATCAGCCCTTGCTGAGACCGATGCGAAAGGTGCTACACAAATGTAATGTTGCTGTTGTTGTTGTTGTTGTTGTAACCCGGGCACCATCTCGTGCCAGCCTCCTGCGAGCCTGGTATAAGCTGGTCATTGGGGCGCAGGGAGCTGGTCATTGAGGCTCCTCAGACCTGGAGGGGCACCGTGTGAGACCCAAACCGCCCCTCACTGCTACAACAGGTCGTTCATTGAAGCCACTCTTTAAATCCTCCCACCACCACCGCTGCTCCTTGATGGTTGACGTTAAAGATCCTAACGGTGACGGCCCTATTCGAAAAGAGAAGGGAGTCTGTCCCGGGGTCCAGGCCAGCAATCCCTCAAATAAAAATCGGTCACTTAAGTCCACGATTGTTTGTGGGAATTGGCTGCTGCATTTCACCCACAAAATGCAGTCGATCTCCATTTTACAATGAATAATAATAATAATAATAATAATAATAATCCTTGCATTTGATATAGCGCTTTTCACGTCGGGAGGACGTCCCAAAGCGCTTCACAGAATATACTGTAAAGTGAATTGACTGTATATTTGTGGGCGAACGCGGCAGCCAATTGCGCACAGCAATGTCCCACAAACAGTCGTAGATTGAAAATGACCAATTTATTATTGTTTTGGGTTTTTTGGAGGGATTATTATTAGGCGTGTGGAGTAAGGAAACTTGCCCAAGGTTTCGCCCTGCCTGGAATCCTTTACAGCGCATTGCGACGTCTCGGCAGCGCGAGAGTGGTCACTACCGTGTTGGTGAACGTGACAGAGAGTTTGCGGGCAGCACGTCTGAACCTGCTCCTCGCGTGTTTGGGGCTGGCAACTGCCCCTTCTGACCAGCGCTGCAAGATTCTGATCCTGTCAAGTCCTGCTGGTGTCCACTCCCCCGTCCCCGTCACTCAGCTCTCCGTCACTCCGTCACTCTCTGCTTGTCGGCCTCCGCAACGCCTCCCTCCACAGGCTGCAGATCATCCAGAACTCTCTGCAGCCCGTGTCCTCTCCCTCACCAGGCTCCGCGACCCTATCACCCCCATCCTCGCCCGACTGCACTGGCTTCCCATCACACAGAGGATACAGTTCAAGATCCTGGTCCTCACCTTCAAAGCCCTCCATGGCCTCGCTCTCCCTACCTCTGCGACCTCCTAACCCCCTACCACCCTGTTCGCTCCTTCCGCTCAGCGGACTCCGGCCTGCTTCACATCCCCCGCCTCGCTCGCCCCACTATTGGCAGGCGGGCCTTCTGCCACTCTGCCCCCACCCACTGGAGCTCCATCCCGCAGTCCCTCCATCTCGCCCCCTCCCTCGCCACCTTCAAGACCCACCTCAAGACCCTCCCTTCGACCGTGCTTTTGATCTCCCTGCTTCCCCCACCCCGAACCCCAGCTCGGGTCCGTAACTCTTGTCTGTCCAGCGCCTTGGGACGTCCTCCCAATGTGAAAGGCGCTATACAAATGCAATGTTGTTGTTGTTAAATCCCACCTGAAGACCTACCTCTTCAACCGTGTCTATGGTCATCTCCTCCTCCCGTGCTCAGTGTCCATTCCAGCCCCGTGAAGCGCTCCTGTGTGAAGGGTGCTGTGTTATTTTAATGTCCACCCCCCAGAACCTTCCTCTTATCTTCAGATCTATATTACAATTATAACATGCGAGGTGTGGCTGGGTGGGTGGGTGGGGGGAATCTGCAGCTCAGTGTTGTCACTGGGAAAGCCCTGGGCCGTGTGTGATGGAGCGTTACACGCTGCAAGGTCTGGACATGGTCAGGAGCAGCACAGGCTGAGAGGAGGATGGGAAACGGGAGAAAATAATCCGGCAGGAATCCCACAATCACGTCGTTTCAACAGGACAGAGCTCGGCTGTGACCTTCCTTCCCCCACTTCCACCCCCATCGTGGCTTAATATCCTGCCTCGGCGAAAACAGGAACGAGGTAAACAGGAGAGAGAGAGAGAGAGAGAGAGTGCGTATCCCATTTCAGAAACGGGGACATTTCCAGGTGTAGGTGACATATATAAGTGGAGCTCTTAAACTCTGGTTTAACGACTCTGAAGTGTTGGGTTCCCACCTGTGTGAGACACCCAGATCATCACCAGACGTGTGTGCTGTTCGATAAAAAGAAGGGAGTTTCTCTCTCTCTTGCTGTCCTGGCCAACAATTCCCGAGATAAAAATTGGTCACCGACTCCATGGCTGTTTGTGGGACACTGCTGTGCGCATCTCGCTGCCGTATTTCATCTACAAAATACAGTCAATCCACTTTACAGTACATCCTGTAGATTTGCACACAAAATGCACGGAGTATAATAATAATAATAATTATCCTTGCATTTGATATAGCGCTTTTCACGTCGGGAGGACGTCCCAAAGCGCTTCACAGAACACACTGTAAAGTGAATTGACTGTATATTTGTGGGCGAACGCGGCAGCCAATTGCGCACAGCAATGTCCCACAAACAGTCGTAGATTGAAAATGACCAATTTATTATTGTTTTGGTTTTGGAGGGATTATTATTAGGCTCTGTGTGGAGTAAGGAAACTTGCCCAAGGTTTCGCCCTCTGCCTGGAATTGAACTCAGGTCTCTCACTTGCAAAGCGAGTGCTCTAACCACTGAGCTACAGGACTCCACATAGTCCTGTAGAAGACTGATCTCGGCGACAGATTTCCACGCGGGTCAAACACCTGCAGACCAACAAAGGAATAAAGGAGCGAGTGAGTTTTCCAGCGATTGTTGTGACGAGCAAGACCTCGCTCACAGTCCCTACGCTGAGCTTAAGCTGGGCACGCCAGCTGCGAAACAAGCCGATATCTCCGAGCGTGCCACAGCCGGGGTTAAATATCCTGCCTCAGTGAAAACAGAGTCAAAGGGCAGATGAGGTACAGTGGCCGGTCTCCCTCTCTGGGAGGCAGTCCGAGGATGTTGCTTGTGTTTTGTGTATTCCCAACGAGGCAAGGGTCACAGACACTGCCTTGTTAATCACGCTCTGGTGCCTGTGAGCCAGTCGGGGGATGACGATAACAATCCTGACATTTGATACAGTGCTTTATCACACCGTCAAAATTTCTCAAAGCATTTAACCGGGTTTTACTGTAAAGAGCAGGGACGGCGCATTCTGTAGGCGAATGAGGCAGCCAGTTGGCACACAGCAATGTCCCACAAACAGCCATGAAGTGAATGAGCAATGTTTTTCTTATCCTGTTGATTCTCAGCCAGAACGCTCGGAGAGAGAAAACTCCCTTTGCTTTTCCTGAACGCCGTGGGATCTTTTCCGTGCATCTGAACAGGGCACAGACGGGAAGCTCGGTTTAGATGTCTCATCCGAAAGATGGTGCCTTCGACAAGGCAGTGCCCTAACCCCACGTGGAGACTTGGAACCGATGCCGTCTATGCTGACGCTCCAGTGTAGCGCTGGGGGAAGCACTGCATTATCGGAAGTGCCATGCCTCGGCTGAGATATTAAACTGATGTCAATCTGCCGTTCAGACGTACGTTAAAGATCCAACAGCACTGTTCAAAAAAGAGAATGGAGTTTCTTCCAGCGTCCTGGCCAACAATCCCCCGGACAAAATTGATCACTCGGGTCATGGCTGTTGGTGGGACATTTCTGTGTGCAAATTGGATGCCGTGTTCGCTCACAAAACGCACAGTCACCACACTTTTCTGTACATCCTGTGAAACGCTTTGTGATGTTTCAGTATGAAAGGCACTGTCTCATCTGTAAGGATTGTTATTATTATCATTGCATTGATTACGTATCTTTTATAATAGCAAAATCTCATTCTTTTCCCCTCCGGTTACTCGAGGGTGGGAGACTTTCGGGTTCAGACAAACAATGAAATTCCTGGACTTAATAATAATGATGATCCTTCCATTCGATCCTTCCATTCGATGTAGCACCTGATTACATTGTTGAGACGTCTCAAAGCCCTTAACAAGATATACCGTAAAGCCTAGTGACTGAGTATTTTGTGGGTGAAATGTGGGAGACAGTTATGCGCACAGCAATGTCCCACAAACAGCAATGGAGTGAGTGACTATGGGATCTTTGACATCCACCCGAACAGGTAGAGGGGACCTCAGTTTAATGTCTGAACTGAAGGACGACACCTCCGACAATCCTCTGAGTGCTTAGACTGTGATTCCAAATCGTGACGTGGGATCACTCCGGAGCCGAGGGCGCTATCACTGTGCCCGTCTTGACACAACTGGCAGCAGCAACAATTAACATTTACGAAGCGCCTTTCACGTCCGGAGACGCCAAGAGTCTGACAAGAGGATTACATGTTCTGAGGCGCTGTAACACAGGCCCCTGTTATTGTTGTTGGCTTCAAGCCTCACGCGTGCCACACACGTGTACAATACAAAATACAATACAAAATTACATTTGTAAAGTGCCCTTCACGTCGGACGTCCCGAGGCGCTGAACAGTCGGGGGTTAGGACCCAGGCGGGCGGGGGGTGTCGGGATCAGGGATGGTGGAGGGCAGAGAGGGTAGGAGGGTGGCTGAAGGCACGGTAGAAGAGGAGAGTCTTGAGTCGTACCTTGAAGGAGGCAAGGGAGGGCGCGCGGCAAAGGGAATGTGAGATGGAGTTCCACAGGGTGGGGGCGGAGAGACTGAAGGCCCAACCGCCGATGGTGGGGAGCCGGCCGGGCGAGGGGCATGGAGCAGGGCAGAGCCTGCTGAGTGGAAGGATCGGACAGGTTGATAAGGGGTTAGCAGGTCGGAGAGGTGAGAGCGGGGCAAGGCCACGGAGGGCCTTGAAGGTGAGGATGAGAACTTTGAACTGTACGTCAATGCTGATGTTTGTCTGGCTCTCGTAGGCAGTTGCTAACCCATCGCCATGGATTCCTTCACCTTCGAGGACGACATCAGCATTCTGACACATGAGGCGCTGCGGGACGATGGAGGCTGGGCAGACGAGCCCAACACAGAGCTGACGGGGGAGGAATATTCTGCCTCACACTTTGCTCTGGTCACCGCCTACAATGACATCAAACAGCGGCTGATAGGCATGGAGAGAGAGAACTACAGCCTCAAGAGGAAACTCCGACACTATGACCTGAAGGTAACATCTCCCGCCGCCCGTTATTTACTTTGGTTTGGTCAACTGGGCGTCTGACACATGTGGAAACCCAGCACCATGCTTCCGAGTATTTCCGTGCATTCCCACCCCATTTTAGATAATTATTTGGGGAGGACAAGTTTGCAGGGCTATGGGGAGAGCGCTGGGGAGTGGGGTGGAATTGGATAATTCTTTTCCAAGAGCGGGCACAGGCACGATGGGCCGAATGGCCTCCTTCTGTGCTGTATGATTCTATGATACACATGGGAATCCCAGAGATAGATTGGTGGAATGGAATGCACGTTCTCTCCCCGGAGGGACACATCCCGTTTACCTAATTCCGGAAACTTTTAGGCCCAGGTTGGCAAGAGCCAAAGCTTGGGGGACCCCAGAGTGTGTGTTGGGGTAACTGCTGGAGTCTAATCAGCTAAACCCGCATAGCTTGCCGTTGAGAACGCTGTCTGGCAAGCTTTCCCGCTGGTTGTCCAGCGCGGACCACCCTTGCCTGTTAGGGCTTTAGCTTTCAACAACAACAACAACAACAACAAGATTTCATTTACAGAGCGCCTTTCACGTCGGGAGGACGTCCCAAGGCGCTGGACAGTTGGGTCAGGACCCGAGCATTGGGGGGAAATGGTCAGGGTGAGGGGAGGGAAGGGAGGGAGGGAGGAGGGGGTAGAGAGTCGAGAGGGGAGCTGAAGGCACGGTCAACGAGAAAGGTCTTGAGACCGGCCTTGAAGGAGGAAAGGGAGGAAGCGGCGAAGGCACTGGGGGATGGAGTTCCAGAGCCTCGGGGCTGAGAGGCTGAAGGCTCGACCACCAATGGTAGGGCGGTTGGGGCGGGGGATGTGGAGCAGACCGGAGTCAGAGGAACGGAGGGTATGGGCAGGTAAGTATTTCAGGGTTAATAGAGGATTCCCTGCCCCCAGTGACTGGTCTGTCCTTCCAGGTCCTGCCGATGAGCCAGGCTGGCCTCCCACAGGGCGGGGGATAGATTATCTCCCTCTTTCTTTCTCCCTTTCTTCCCCTTCTTCCCCCCCTCTCTCTCTCCCTCTTTTTTCTTTCTTCCCCTGCATCTCTCTCTTCCTCCCACTCCCTGTATTTTCCCTCTCTCCCCCTCTCTTTTTCTCACTCCTTTTCTCCCGATGGCATAGCCAACAACGGCCCAGATGACAGGGGGTGTTCACTTCGTAGCTGTTTGTCGGACTTTCACACGTTTGAACACAAAATACACAGCGACCACTCTTTAAAGATGTTTGAGGCGTCCTCCTGACGTGAATTATATTGTAGTAATTAAAGACGGTGGGTTTCCAACCAGAGACTAATCTACAGAGGGAGGATTGGCAGCAGTGTGGGTGGAAAAGCTGATAAGTGGGACTGAAAGGGGCACTCTTTTGAAGAGCCAAACCATGGGCCGAATATAATAATAATGGTTGCATTTGACATAGCGCCTTATCACGGCCCAAAGCACTTCACAGAATATACCGTAAAGTGGATTTTGTTGGTGAAATGTGGCAGCCAATTGCGCACATTTCACCAACAAAACAGTTGCGGATTGAATGACCAAATTATTATTTCAGTTTTTTTAAGGGAATATTCCCCCCAGATTATTACCCCCACAAGCCGCAGGACGCAGGTTCGATTCCCATAATAATAATAATAATAATGTGGTCACTCGATCCAGGACTGTTTGTGGGACACTGCTGTGCGTAATTGGCTGCCGGGTTTCGCCCACAAAATATACAGTTAATTCACTTTACAGTCTATTCTGTGAAGCGTGTTGAGACGTCTCGGAAGATGTGACAATGCACGGATTATAATAATCATTGCCGATTGAAAGCTGGGAGCGTGTTGTCTCCTTAAGAAAATGTCCTTTTTGATATATATTTACATATTTGTATAATAATCAGTGTATGCAGTAAACTCCCCGTGTCTCCAGTCCCATCTGAATGACAGACCCGCAGGAGCGTGTGGTTTCTGAGTGTGAATCTAGCGGCTGCCAGTGAATGGGTCAGTGTGTGAGTGTGAAATGAGGTCAGTGTGCGCGCTTTCAGTCCTGGGAGGCATGAGGGAGGCCTGATGTGTGTGAAGCCAGTGATCTACATATAGTATCTCTCTCTCTCTCTCTCGTTCTCTATCCAGGCTATTGGGGGAGTGTAGAGGAACTCGCTCCCAATTGTGTGCACGAGAGATATTAAAGCAGTTTCTATACACGTCACTTTTTTGGTGGGAGGGGATGGGGGTCGATGGGGGTGTGTGTGTGTGTGTGTCATGTATATGGGGGTGGGAGGTGGAGGTGAAGGCTGGGGATTTAAAGAGGGGATTGGATAAATATGTGAAACGGAGGACTATCAGGACGGACTCTGACGCCTGCTCGTGTCTGGACAGTTTTCTCTGTCGAACGATTTTGGGGAGGAGCAGCCCCTGTCCCCGAGGCAGCTGGACATCCTGGTGCTGAGGACAGAGAACGCACACCTGCGGGAACAGCTGGACGAGCTCCACAACCAGGTGGGGAGACGTCACCCTACGGCCCAACCCCTCCCCCCCCCACCCGCCCTCCGCCTCTTTGACCCCTGTCCCCCCCCCCTTTCCCCCTGCCCCCGACTTCCGACCCCGACAGTCGCCCGAGTGCTGTTAACGGTTTGCGGCACTTTATTATAACACAGCGGCCGGCAAGACCCTGCACCCCCTCCCAGCCTGGAGGCCGGGGGTTCGGGCTCCAGGTCGGGGTCTTTGAGCTCGCAGTCTGGACTTGACGCTCCAGCGTCCAGCGCTGTCGGGGGCGCCGTGTTTTGGACAGAGAGCTCCCGTCCCTCTGCCTCTTCCGATCGATTAAAGATCTTGCGATGCTATTGGGGGGGGAAAAAAAAAGGCGAGGGGTTTGTCTCTCTCCCTGCGTCCCGGCCCCCAAAACCCCCGGATGCAATTAGGCGTTCATTTCATGGCTGTTTGCGGGATGTTGCTGCGCGCGAATCGGCTGCCGCTTTGCCCCCAAAACGCACAGCAAAATCCTGGGGCTTTGAGACGCACCAGTGACGTGATGGGGCTAATAGAAATGTCCAGAGGCTTTAATTCAAAGCTCTTTCCCCTCTCCGCCTGGCTGTCATTTCAGTGATGTAAACGCTCTTGCCTTCATTAATTAAACGTCCCTTACAGATTCCTGAGAGTCCTCGCTCAGTCGCTCGCTCTCTGACTCGCTCTTCGGCTCACTCTCTCGCTCGCTCTCTCGCTCGCGCTCTCGCTCTCGCTCTCTCTCTCTCTCTCTCGCTCTCTCGCTCTCACTCTGCCTCGTTCTCTCACTCTCTGCCTTGCTGTCTCGCTCGCTCGCTCAGTCATTTTCTTCGCTCTTGCTTTCTCTCTCTCCTGCTCTCTGGCTCACTCTGTTGCTCACTCTCTGGTTCGCTCTCTCACTCATGCTCTCTCTGGGGAAGGGACGTGGAGGAGCGGGGTGGGGGCTTGGGTGGAAGGGGGGGCACGGGGGAGGGGCCATGGGGTGAGGAGGGGTCGTAGGGGAGGGGGCGTGGGGAGATGGGAGTGGGGGAGTGGGTTGTGGGGGAGGCGGTGCGGGGGAGGGAGGTGTTTGATGGCGGGAGGGGGTGCCGTGCGGGAGTAGGGGAGGGGGTCATGGGGGAGGCGGCTGTGGGGGAGGCGGTGCTGGGGAGGGGTCATATGGGAGGGGAGGGGTCATGGTGGAGTGGGGTGGTTGAGGAGGTGTTCGGGGGGGGGCGGGGGCTGCCGTGGGGGAGGGAGTCATGGGGGAGAGTGTGGATGGGAGGAGTTGTGTTGGAGGGGGGGGAAGCCTTGTGGAAGTGGCGAGTGGGGGAGAGGGTGGAGGGGCCCAAGGGGGGAGGGGGCAATGTGGGGGAGGGGGCCTACAAATGTTGCTTTCCATTGAATTCTCTCTGCAGTTGGAAGACAGCAAAGAGCGCGAGGATCATCTGGACAAAGTGATTCAAGCCTACGAGAAGATCTGCTTCGAGAAAGAGGATTTACATCAACAGTTGGAGGAGATGGTGAGGCCGGGAGCCCCGAGAGCCCAATTCCTGGAGCCGTGGTCAGACCCCACCTGGAAAACCGCCTTCGGTTTCGGGGCACCACACCTCAGGACGGGGGGATATATCGGCTCTGGAGGGGGCGCAGCGCAGATTCACCAGAATGATACCAGGCCTTAAAGGGTGAAACCACGAGGCCACGTTGCAGAAACTTGGTCCTTTTTCCCTGGAGTTCAGAAGGTTGAGCGATGATCTGATTCAGGTGCTCGACATGAGAAAGGGATTTGACAGGACAGAGCCCGAGAAACCCTTTCCTCTGGTGCGGGAATCCAGAACGAGGGAACATCAGCTTAAAATTAGAGCCGAACGGTTCAGGGGTGGAATCGGGAAGCGCTGTCTTCATACAAAGAGGAGTGGAAATCTGGAATTCTCGCCACCAAAAGGCGGTGGAGGCTGAGTCCAGTCACGTTTTGAAGCCTGAGGTGGTGGATAGATGTTTGTTAGGTCAGGGTTTCAAGGGAGAGGCGGGTAACATGGAGTTGAGGTACAGATCGGCCATGGTGGAACAGGCTCGAGGGGCTGAATGGCCTCCTCCTGTTTCCCAGTTTCCGGAGCCTGGGGATTGGGATCCCAGAGGGTGCGTTTACAGAAGTGAGCTGAGTGTGTCAGTCAGGTTGCTTTGGGGGGGGAGGACGGGTGGGGTGGGGGTGGGGGTGGTGGGGGGGTGTGAGCCCCTCACTGACCTGTGCATCTTCCGCAGTCGGTGCTGGCTGAGAAACACCTGGGAACGATCCGGAGCCTGGAGCAGGCACTCAAACAGAAAGACGTCTCGGTGCAGAGGCTAAACGGGCAACTGCAGGCCTCCGAGCCCGACCCCCGGTCCGAGCCGGTCCCCACACACGGTAAGAGCCGTATTCCGGGTCCACGCTGAGTGGGGAGGGGGAGAGGGTGTCAGGGGGAGGGAGAGGGGTATCTGGGGGAGGGTGTTAGAGGGATGTGAGGGGTAGAGTTGTCAGAGGGAGGGAGAGGGGTGTCAGAGAGAGGGGTGTTTCCCCCTTGTCTGTCCACACTGCCTTACCGTGTGTCTCATGTGCCATGATCCTGCTGTCTGGTGTAGTGACTGTGCACACAGAGGTCCCATAAGCAGAACAGCAGGCGAAGTGGCCAACTGTATCTGGTGGAGTGTCGACCAGGCACCGGGAGAGAGAGAGAGAGAGAGAGAAACTCCCTTCTCTTTCCCCAACAGCGACGTGGGATCTTTAACGTCCACCTGAACAGGGCACAGACGGCGAGTGAGGCAGAGTAGGCACGAAGCGTTATTTTAAACAAAAGGCGAAGTACTGCAGACGCTGGAAATCGCAAGTAAAAGCAGAAGTCGCAGGGAACAAAGTGAGTTAATGTTCCAGGTTCATGACGACCTTTGTTAACTCACATCCCTCTCTCCGTGAACGCTGCCTGACCGGCTGAGGGGGGGGGTCCCGGACACTTCTGTTTTTATTTAAGCGATACCGTGTCCTGATTGTCCAGTCCCATTGCTGGGCAGGGACTAAGCCCCCAGGCGACTGACCCCCAACCCCAGGTTCAAGGGGGCCGGATGCGGCCCGGGGGCCGGTGGGGTCAGATAATGTGGTTGTTAAACTGTGGACCTCTGTGTCTCGCTGCCCAGGGGTGGAGAGCTCGGGCCCCCAGCGCCTGGCAGACGTGCAGCTGACGGAGCGAGCAGTTCAGCGGCTACAGGACCGTGTGGATGAGCTGCAGCGGCAGCTACACGACTCCCAGTGGCCGGAGGGTCACCTGCACCAGGAGTGCGACCACCTGCAGGAGCCCCGCGCACAGGTGAGCAGTGAGGACCAGGTGAGCAGTGAGGACCAGGTGAGGAGTGAGGACAGGTGAGGAGTGAGGACACAGGTGAGCAATGAGGACCAGGTGAGGAGTGAGGACAGGTGAGGAGTGAGGACAGGTGAAGAGTGAGGACACAGGTGAGCAGTGAGGACCAGGTGAGCAATGAGGACCAGGTGAGGAGTGAGGACAGGTGAGGAGTGAGGACCAGGTGAGGAGTGAGGACCAGGTGAGGAGTGAGGACCAGGTGAGGAGTGAGGACCAGGTGAGGAGGGAGGACAGGTGAGGAGTGAGGACCAGGTGAGGAGTGAGGACAGGCGAGGAGCGAGGACAGGTGAGGAGCGAGGAGCGGGGACAGTGAGTGGGGCCAAGGACAGTGAATGATTGATGTCAGTGAGGTGTCTGAAGGGAATGCAGTCACAGCCGCAGGGAGGGTTGGCCATTGAAGCGACGAGACGTTTCACTGTTAGTCACTGCGGGGACTTGCGCTCGCCAGCCTTCGAGCTGCCGTCAGTAACACTCACTCTCCCCCCACCCCCCACCCCAGGAGCTGACCTGTGACCTTCACAACATGGAGTGGCTAAAGAACACAGAAGAAGAGCAGTAAGTTGTTAATCTAACTCCATCCACGGTGTGCACAGACTGTGTGTGTGTGTGTGTGTGTGTAATCTCACTCACTCACACACACAAACTTACACACTCACACACGCACTCACAATCATGCACTCCCATACACGCATACACTCACTCACACACACATACACTCACTCACACACACATACACTCACTCACACACACATACACTCACTGACACACACATACACTCACTCACACACACATACACTCACTCACACACACATACACTCACTTACACACACATACACTCACTCACACACACATACACTCACTCACACACACATACACTCACTCACACACACATACACTCACTCACACACACATACACTCACTCACACACACATACACTCACTTACACACACATACACTCACTCACACACACATACACTCACTCACACATACATACACTCACTCACACACACATACACTCACTCACATACATACACTCACTCACACACACATACACTCACTCACACTCACTTACACACACATACACTCACTCACACACACATACACTCACTCACACACATATACACTCACTCACACACACATACACTCACTCACACACACATACACTCACACACACACATACACTCACTCACACACACATACACTCACTCACACACACATTCACGCAACACACGCTCACATTCACTTAACACACACACACACACACACGTGCATGCACACACTCACAGACACACCCTCAGAAAAGCAGTCACAGTGGGTCACCGTATACAGTATATTATTCTGTACTAACTGCTGAAGTCCTAACGGTTCGTGTCCACTGAGCTGCTGGGAACACGGAGTCTGATTGCTACACAGTCACTACACATGACAGCAAACGCCTGCGAAGTGCTGTGAGCTGGTTGGACCGTGTATCAGGCACGGAGTCAAACACGAGCAGTTTGAGCCGAACGCTTGAGGGGTTGGGTTGGCTCTCAGTGGCCACCAGAGGACGACAGTTAGCTTCAAACGTTCACAGGTCTCTGAACTGGAGAGAGAGAGAAATCCGGGTTTGTTAGTTATTATAATATTCCTTACATTCGATACAGCGCCTCATCACGTCTTCCAGACGTCTCAAAGCGCTTCACGGGATATACTGTAAAGTGATCTGACTGTGGGCGAATGTGACCACATTTTTTTTTGAAGGGATTATTAGAGACGAAGGCGCTAACCACTATGAGGTGGGATTCTACAGTTAGTCAGTTGGTTGGTTAGTTGGTTAGTTTCATTATGATCCACACCAGGTGGGCTGAATGGCATCCTCCTGTCCCTGTGTGACGATTTGCATTGACCATTAACTGCTTAGTTATGGAGGAGGCGTGCTTCAAGATTGACATTAAACCCGATGATTCCCCGCCTGTGGGATTTAGGAGCAAAACTGGAAACCCACCCTCAACCCCGCAGACCCCAGGGCAGGGGGAGGGGAGGACGGTGAAGGACGCGAGGGGGTAGAGTCAGGGGGGGAAAGGGGGAGAGGGAGCAATGAGCAGTGAGTTAACCACCTCACAACATGTTTTTTTAAAAAAGCTTTGTGGTTTTATCTGGTTAGACTCTAACAGTTTCCCCAACACACACTCTGGGTCCGCCACACCTCGGCTCTTGCCAACCTGCGCCTAATACTTTCCGGAATTAGGTAAACAAGGATGTGTCCCTCCGGGGGGGAGTGTTCATCCCATTCCAACGATCTATCTCTGGGATTTCCATGTCGAGGTGGGATGTATGGAAATCTCAGTTTGGTTTGGATACTCTTAAGCCTGAGGATGGGTTTCCGCGTGTGTCAGACGCCCGACTGACCAGACAAACAACAACAGAATATTTTTAAAATGGCAGGAGTGAGGAATAAGGAAGAATGAATGAAATTGTAGCAGAGAGAATGATGTGGGGTGAGGGGCCGAATGGCTGTGTGCTGGTGTGCCTACGTGCTGGTGTGTGCGCGTGTGTGTGTGCTTGTGTGTGTGTGTGTGCTGGTGTGTATACGTGCTGGTGTGTGTGTGTGTGTATGCTGGTGTATGGGTGTGTGTGTGTGCTGGTGTGTGCTGGTGTGCGTGTGTGTGCTGGTGTGCGTGTGTGTGCTGGTGTACGTGTGTGTACTTATATGTGTGTGTGTACTTTGTGTGTACTTGTGTGTGTGGATGTGCTGGTGTGCATGTGTGTGCTGGTGTATGTGTGTGTGCTGGTGTGTGTGTGTTTGTGTGTGTGCTGGTGTGTGATTGTGTGTGTGCTGGTGTGTGTGTGCTCGTGAGTGTGTGCTGGTGTGCATATGTGTGCTGGTGTATGTGTGTGTGCTGGTGTGTGTGTGCTGGTGTATGTGTGTGCTGGTGTGTGTGTGCTGGTGTATGTGTGTGTACTAGTGTGTGTGTGCTGGTGTGTGTGCTTCTGTGTGCTGGTGTGTGTGTGCTGGTGTGTGTGTGTGCTGGTGTGTGTGTGCTGGTGTGTGTGCTTCTGTGTGCTGGTGTGTGTGTGCTGGTGTATGTGTGTGTACTAGTGTGTGTGTGCTGGTGTGTGTGCTTCTGTGTGCTGGTGTGTGTGTGCTGGTGTGTGTGTGTGCGTGTGTGTGTGTGCTGGTGTGTGTGTGCTGGTGTGTGTGTGTGCGTGTGTGTGTGTGCTGGTGTGTGTGTGTGCGTGTGTGTGTGTGCTGGTGTGTGTGTGTGCTGGTGTGTGTGTGTGTGTGTGTGTGCTGGTGTGTGTGTGTGCGTGTGTGTGTGTGCTGGTGTGTGTGTGCTGGTGTGTGTGTGTGCTGGTGTGTGTGTGCTGGTGTGTGTGTGTGTGTATGTGTGCTGCCCGGTGGTGGGGGTGGAGAGCTGCTGCAGTCACTTGACACACACACACACACACACACGCATTGTGTTTGCCTTGCGGTGGTTTTTTCTCTCTCGATAAAACTTAAAACAAGAAAAAAAACACAAGGTGTCATTTCACACATTTCTCCCCACACATTTACTATGCAGCGAGGGCGCTTATCATCTTAAAGGGCAAAGAACCCACAGCACATAGAGAGAGGGAGGGGTGAGGAGAGTGGGGGGGGGGGGGAGAGAGCAGGGAATGGGATTAGAGTAGAGAGCTCCAGTGGTGGTGGGGGGGGGGGGTGGGGGGTGAGAGAGAAAGTGAACGAGAGGGAGAGAGAGAGAGAGTGAGCGCCGGTCAGGAGAATCACAGCCCTGGTATTGTGTAACTGGGTATGAGGAGTTCTCTGGGTTCGTGTGTGCGCGCATGTGTGCGCACGCGTGTGTGTGCGTGCGCGTGAGAGTGTGTGTGTGCGCGTGTGTGCGTGAGAGTGTATGTGTGTGCGTGTGTGTGCGTGCGTGCGTGTGTGTGTGCGCGTGAGAGTGTGTGTGTGTGCGCGCGTGTGTGCGTGAGAGTGTATGTGTGTGCGTGTGTCTGCATGTGTGTGCGTGTGTGTGTGTGCAACAGAGCAGACAGTGCTGCAAGCCCTCACCAGCCCAGCCCCGCTGTGTGGTCAGACACCAGTCTGCAGCAGGCGGGCAGTGAGCTCACTGAGCGACACCCACGGCACAAACCGCAAGCTCCAAAGCTGCCGCTCACTCAGTACACAACTGGAAAGCGGCGCCGGGCACCGCTGCCCCCGAGCTGCGGCCTCACTGGAAACAAGTACCCAATGGGGTTAGAGTAGAGAGCTCCAGTAGGGAGAGGGAACGAGCCCCAGCACAGACCCGATTGGGGAGGGAGCAGGGAGTGGGGTTAGAGTAGAGAGCTCCAGTAGGGAGAGGGAGCGAGCCCCAGCACAGACCCGTTGGGGAGGGAGCAGGGAGTGGGGTTAGAGTAGAGAGCTGCAGTAGGGAGAGGGAGCGAGCCCCAGCACAGACCTGTTGGGGAGGGAGCAGGGAGTGGGGTTAGAGTAGAGAGCTGCGGTGGGGAGAGGGAGCGAGCCCCAGCACAGACACGATTGGGGAGGGAGCAGGGAGTGGGGTTAGAGTAGAGAGCTGCGGTGGGGAGCGAGCCCCAGCGCAGACACGATGGATTGAATGGCCTCTTTCTTTGATGGAAACGTTCTACGTGATTCTATGAAATGGTGTTTGTGAAGACAAGCAGACGACTTGTGTGGAGGGAATATCAAACAACTGAAAGAGATTTTACAAGAAATCTGGCGTAGAGCGTGGGGCGAGTGTGGGGCACAGAGACTGAGAATTCACACCATTGCTTGAGCGTCTGAAATCAGCTACAGTCGAGTCATTTAAGTGCCTGAAGAGACGTCTTATCTCCGTTTATTACTGAAACCTGACAGATAAGGGCGTATCCTTAACAACTGCAGCAAATGTCATGCTTTAAGATTAAAACACAAGTGAAATAAAATGCAGAGGTGAAAAAAAGTTGTGCCGATTTAAGTGAAAGATGAGGTGAAGATTGCCAGCGATTATAAAACTAATGATCTCTGTGTTTGATACAGCGCCTTATCACATTGTTGAGACATCTCGAAAAGCTTCACACGCTTTTACTGTAAAGTGTGTGTATTCTATGGGTGATTCCTATTTTGCGGGTGAGTAGATAACTGGGGAGAGAGAGAGTGGGGGAAGCAAATTGTCCCCCTTTCCTGCCAATCTTTAAAAAGATATAGAACTGATGTGAAATTGAACCTTTTATGTGTTTTCAGTGCTGGTGCCACTAATGCAATGTTTGACCTGCAGGTGTTGAAACTGAGACAGCCTCAGGCTGTGCTGTTCACACCCGGGCATATTGCCATTCTGTTACTGGCCTCGGGGAGGGAGAGCAGGAATATCGACTGGGATCTGGGGGATATTGACCAGGATTCAGGGGAATATTGATTGGAATTTGGGGGGAATAGTGGAGGAATGAGCTCTGAGCAGTGGTTAGACAAGCTCAGGCTCCTCTGTCCTAAGAGCAGCAACGTATAGAGGTGTATAACACGGTAAATGGGATTGAGAAAGTAAAGCCACATCAATACTTTTGGATGTTTCAAGACAGTAGGACAGGAGGACACAGGT